TATCTTATATCAGTGGTTCTCAATGAGCAGGTACCGAGACTGGCATCACCAACACCACTTGAGAACTTGTTAAAAATGCACATTTTTGGCCCCTCCACAGATCTGCAGAAATTCTAGGGGTGGGGTCCAGCAATCTGTGCTTTAATAGTCCTCCGGGCAATCCTGATTCATGCTGAAATTTGAGGACCATTTTCTTAGAGAATGGATCTGTAAGGGTCTGATGTGCACCTTAACAAATACTAGTAGTACTGGTATTCATTTTCACTTGAATTTTCCAACATAACAGGTTTGGAAAGTTTGGGGATTCCATTTGACCTGTGATTGAAATTTTAGAAGGTCTTAGATTTTCATATAAAGATATCTTCCTTACATTCCAAATAATTACTTTTATGTAAGAATTCCAGGTGAACATTATTGAATGAGGCATCTCTAAAACTAAAAATAAGTTACTTTGAATTTAATGTATTATTTGCTATATTCTCTGTTAACGTATTAACGATATGGGAATACCTACCTGAAGTAACTCTTAAAAATGGTCTGAATTTTGTATCATCTTTACTTTGAATAATTTAAAATAATAAAAACAAACCCTGGCATAAATATATTTTCTTTCAGCAAGAGCTGATCTACTTCACATTCAGCAGACAGGGAAGTGGGGAGCACACGGCGAACCTCAGCCTCCTGCTGCAGAGATGCAATGAAGTCCAGCTGTGGGTGGTCACGGAGATTCTGCTCTGTAGCCAGCTGGGCAAGCGAGTGCAGCTAGTGAAAAAATTCATCAAAATCGCGGCTCAGTAAGTGGCTGGTGGTGACAAGTTCTGTTCCTCTTGCCTCCTTGAGAGAGTCCACTGATTTTTTTCCTTGTGATGATAAGAAGGGTTGGGATATAAAAGTGTAATCTGGGTTTAGTGACCAAATGGTTGAAAGGATCTGTTCTAGAATATTTATGTCTTTGCATATGTGGAGTGTTTATGTCTTAAAGTAAGTGTCAGAATACCACACTGAGGTGCACTGTGCTGTATGCGTGGAACTCATAAGCAGGCAGTGCACACATCTTGCAGCCAAACCATGATATGGCTGGGTGAGCTACAGTAGGCGAGGAAAATGGGGAGGATGATATGAGGGAGTGAGAACCATCAAAAATCAGGTGCATTCTAGGGTTCTGTTCAGTGCTCCTTGATGCCTACAGTATGAACTTCTGCAAACTCCTTTGTTAGAAGGCCCTGTGCTTACCACTGAGCCTCACCTTACCTCTGAGTCCACCCCCTGGATGCACCCTGTGCTCCAGCCACTCTGAATGTCTGTCTCGTTCCCATGCACACCATCCTCCACGCCTGGACACGTGTTGTTGGCTCTACCATGCATGGCCACTTCCACCCAGTGAACTGCTGCCATTCTGCAAGACCCCAGTCAAATGTTACTTCCTTCCTGAAGCGATCTCTGACTTTCAAGTGCAGTGTCAACTACTTCCCTTCTGCACACACATACTTTCACTTTTTATTTTTTTTATTTTATTTTTTATTTTATTTTATTTTTTTTATTTTTTTTATTTTTGTCTTTTTCCGTGTCCGGCAACGGATCGCAACCCTCAGTATTTTTTTTATTTTATTTATTTTATTATTTTTATTTTTGTCTTTTTCCGTGTCCGGCAACGGATCGCAACCCTCAGTGTCGCCCCCGT